GTAAAGTACAAATAACCAAAATTTCTACTTAAGTATAGTAACAAAGTATTTGTACTTAGTTACTGTACAACTCTGATTTTAAACAATATGTGGAGGACCAATAAAATCAGTACAGTACAGAGTTTTTGCAAACCAAAAACAAAATTATGTTAATTTTTTAGGTAAACTGGACATGGTGGTGGCTGGAGCAGGCACAGGCGGTACACTCACAGGTGTCGCTCGAAAGCTGAAGGAGAAATGCCCCAATGTGAAGGCAAGACGTCACCGCAGAGCCTCATGACATAAAATATCTGATGTCTAAATGACTTTATTCTTCTAACACCACACAACATAACAGAAGTCATATTTTAAACTTGTACTCTGCAATGTTTTCTTTGTTTTTAGATAGTTGGTGTAGACCCTGAGGGCTCTGTTCTTGTACACTCAGAAGAACACAACCCAAAGTCTCATTTTGAAGTTGAGGGCATTGGATATGACTTCATCCCCACAGTGTTGGACAGATCTGTGAGTATTTTTGTGTAAATAGTTAGTTTACACTCTAACTAGTTGTCAGCTCTATTTATTTTTTACAAACCTGTGCAGGTTGTGGACATGTGGTACAAATCTACTGATAAGGAAACGTTCAACATGGCGCGCAGGCTGATAAAAGAGGAAGGCCTTCTGTGTGGTAAGTTCACAGCTCTGACTCGGTCCGGCTGTTCATCTTTSACACGCCTCCTGTCGGAGCTTGTGCTGAATGAATCTGGGTTGATTTGCTTGTTTGTCTTCAGGTGGAAGCTCTGGCTCAGCGATCGCAGCAGCGATGAAGATGGCTCAGCAGCTGGAGGAGGGTCAGCGCTGTGTGGTCATCCTGCCCGACTCTGTCCGCAACTACATGTGAGAAACAAATAAGGTTTTAAACAAAAAGATAAGTTAGTTTAATCATTAAAGTTACTGTTTGGATCATTTTTTTTATTAAATGGATGCAACTCTGCAACTATACCACTAGAAATATCACTGGATGTCATCAAATATCAGTGCACACATATCAGCCAATAAGCCAAATTTGTTAGCTTTAATGCTGTTCAGTTTCACTTTGTTTTCTTTACTCACTTTAAAAAAATATACTATATGACATAAAACCTAAATTGACAAGATTTTCATTAACTGAATGGGTCTGTTGTGGGAAAAAAAAGGTTTAAAAAGTAAAAGTTGACCTTATGATTGAGGCTGTGCGAACACATCTCCTGCACGAGGTGCAGTGTGTTTAAAACAAAAACACACACAGAGTTGTAAAGTAACTAAGTACAAATACTTTGTTACTGTACTTAAGTAGAAATTTTGGTTATCTGTACTTTACTTGAGTAATTATTTTTCAGCTTACTTTCTACTCACTACATTTTTT